AGTCACATGATCAAGACTCCTGTACTGATTGATTCTGGTTCTTTGTATGTATTCAGTGGCTTGTGCATATTAGATACTTAATTTCTAAGCTCTTGTGTCACCCTAAACCTTGGCATTACGGCAGTTGATTCAAGTAGTAGTAATTTATTCATTTTACTTACAGCTTCTGTTTTTAAAAAGGACTTTGCGTTTCATTCCATTTACTGCTGGGATAGTCACTTGAGATTTTTGCCTGGTACCTGTTTTATCAAGCAAGATTTGGGGGCATTTGTGTGTTATGAGTTTGACATGCTGTTAATTATCACTTCTGTCTGATAGTAGAGATTAACGATTTATGTTTCCAAATATCCTATTATGAACATAGACTAAAACTAGGCATTAATCTTGGAAAAACAGAAGATATGCAACTGTAATGCCATTTCACAATTAAATTATATAAAATCTCATTATTAGAGTCATTAGCTGAATTAGCAAAATCAATTATTAAATTTGAATTAATGCAAAGTTTGAATATGATGCCAAGCCAATGCCAATTAATTTCAGTTGGGAAATTTCAGATGCATGAATACTTTAGGAAAACATTGAACACCTAAAACATATAATAATGTCTTATCTCTGAGGAAAGAAATCTTAGTTTCAGAGTACCTACATGTGTTAAAGGATAATCAAACAAAATAAAATTCAGAAAAAAAGTCTCAATTTAACATGAACATGATGTTTTTGTTAGTATTTGGACCTTAGGGATTATCAATTATTTTGTGAACCATTGCCTGTAAACATTAAGCTATCTGATTTATTTTGATGACTAAGAATTTTTGCCCAGGGAATAACCAAACAACTTATTACTGAAATATTCTCAATAATATAATCTTAATTTTAAGTTGTTTTAGCTTTTCAGTTTCCAGAAGGCTTCTAACATAGATTGTCATTTAATTTCCATGAAGCTTGTCATTACTGCTACTGGTAGATTAAAATACTATCCTCTGTAACTTTGAGTTTTCATAAACATGGTGGCCTGATCTGTCTGGAACTCCGTTCCCTGCATGCTTGCCTTCCCTAC